GAACATTGTGAAGCATTTCTTGTGACATTGTAGATCGCAAATAATTTTAAGAATATTCAACTTATATTCATATAGTTTCCTTCCCTAGTCATCTAGGGTTTCGTCGTTATTTTTTTAAGGTTGTTTTAACTACGTTTTTGGCTGACTTTTACGTTCATTATCATGGCGGAGGGCTGCATATATGGAGAGTGGAATAGAATAGTTGTATACACGTTTGAATCTGGACGAGGATGATTCTGATGGAGTAGAAGTCGCCGCTGATGACTTCTTACTGCTTGATTGGACGTATCCTAACTGATAAACCGTTCAAATTTCCTTTCTGCAGGGACACTATTGCTGATGTTTGGAGGTCGGGGAGAGGAGTAAATATCAGGGAGATTGGGGAGCGAAGATACAAAGTCCAGTTTTTCCATAAAGCTGGCTTTGACTGATGGGCCGTGACTCTGTGAGAATAGCTTGTTAATTCTTCATAAATTAGAAGGAGTTGAAGACCATGTATATATCCTGTTGACTCGTCAATTGTTCTAGATACAGGTTTAGTTTATAAATTACCTTTGCTTCCCTTTACGAAAAAGATGGCACATATATAATTGGCAATCAAGTTGGAAGCTTTTTTAAATTTGATCCTAATAATTTCAAAGGGGGTTTGAAGAATGGTTGGTTGATCAAGAGGGTAATTTATTGTGTACAAGCAAGCCAGGTTTCCCATTAGATGGTGGAAGACAGGAGCCCGATGTGGCTAGAGTGGGGATATCTGGTCGGGGGGAAGTCTCTGTGGAAGCTACACATGTGGCAACCGGGTGTGGAAGCACCAAAATTGTTATGTGGCAAGGAGAGTCCTTTATTGGGGACTTTCCACAGTCAATGGGATGGGTAGTTAAAAAATGGAAAGCCGGTGCGGCTGAGGTAGGGATTTCAAATCCCAGCAAGACGGATTTAGAGATTGTTCATCCAAAAAATTGGAGCAGCAGCGGGTCCTGGATTCTAGGCCCGCGGGGAATCATGAGTTGTTTTAGCTGAATTGTAGTGGGCTTGGGAATCCCGTGACAGTTCAAGTTAGGGGTGGGCATAATGGTTTGGTTTAACCGTACCGTACCAAACCGAACTAAACCAAACCGAAAACGGACCTTATGCAATTTGATTTGAGTTTGGCATTATTTCTTCTAAACTGTATTAAACCGAAACGAACCGAAACCGATAAAAACCAAACAAAACCGAACTAAAGAAATTCAAAAAAAAAACCTTCATGTATTATTAAAAATTAACAAATCCCAACTAAACCGAACCGAACCAAACCGAAAAATAGTATGATTTTTGTTTGGTAATAATTCTTCCAACCTGTTCCAAACCGAAACCGATAAAAACCGAACCGAAAACCGATATGTCCAGCCCTAGTTCAAGTGTTATTGGATTTAATCCACTTAAAGGGGTCGTCCCTAGAATTTCTTATGGAGACTTTTTCTAATCAAGCAAGAGTGGATGTTAGAGGAATAAAAGGTTATGGAAGGGGTCTCACATTGCAACCAAGTTTATATTGTTGAAGGAGTTTCACATTGCAACCAAGTTTAATTTATACTCCCTCCGTCCCAGGGAGAAGTTCCCGGGTTGACTTTCACACATATTAAGGAAATAAAGTTACTGAGGGATAAATTTTACTGTTTGGCACTATTTCCACGCTGTTTGGCACTGTTTTGCACTGTTTGACACTGTTTTGATGTAGGATAACTTTCCATTTAGGGATATGAGAACTTTTTGTTGGGACTGCCAAAAAAGGAAAGTGAGAACTTCTCCCTGGGACGGAGGGAGTATTAGAGAAGGCCAAGACTTATGTTGAAGGATGGGAACTCGCACAACATTCTGGAGGCTTACAAGGAAGTGAGCAAGTCAGAGGTTTGTCAATCTGGAGAGGAAGATTAAAACATAGTAGGATAAAGGGTCAAATAGGTACATGAACTAACTTAAAGTGTTCAATTAACCCCTTATATAGGAGGTTCTGCCCGGCCGTCACCAATTGGGGCGGTTCCCGGTTGAACTTTTTGATGAAATTTTTTGAGCATCTTCTTCATTAAGTCTAGTTTAACCATATCAAATTTCAGCTAAAAATTAAACCGGGAAGGCAGTCAAATGATTTTCCAAAATGTATTGTGTTGTTTAACTGCGCAGTTATCTTCAAAAAATCATAAGACTGCCTTCCCGGTTAAATTTTTAACTGAAATATGGTATGGGTAAACTAGACTTAATGAAGAAGATGCTCAAAAAATTCCACTGGGAACCGCCCCAATTGGCGACGGCCGGGCAGAACCTCCTATATAAGGGGCTAATTGAACACTTTAAGTTAGTTCATGTACCTATTTGACCCTTTAGCCAAACATAGTATTGATGTAGCTGGTAGGACCGTAGGAATAATTTCTTTGGCTTTTGGTGGATTATAAGGAACGAGCTCGGGGACTTTGTAGCATGGGTGTCAAAGATCTGGCCGGGAAGGTTATCACCGTGGGAAGCTGAGATAATGTGTGTTAGAGAGGCTTTAAGTTGGGCTAAGGGACAAGGATGGGATTTTATTGATGTGGAGTCGAACGTTTCTCGAGCTTATCTCAGAAATTGCGAAAGGATCAAGTATCTTTGTAGCAGGGCTAGTGGCGGATAATATTAGAGATATGTGTTCAAGATTATTGACGAAAATCTCTTTTTCTTTCATTAGATGGTCAGCGAACAAGGTGGCTCATGGCCCTACTCAACAGCTCAAGTCGTATGTTTTTTGTCTGATTGTCAATCCTGGTGTTGGATTCCTCCTATTTTTCTTACTCATGTATTAAACTATGATTTGATTAATGATAATTAAGCTTCATTTTGTCAAAATAAAATATTCAACTTTGAAAAACTTCTCTGCGCGGTAGCCACAGTTATCGGCAGGGCCGTAGATGATGTCGTGCAAGAAGTGCTACCGCACAACGCCTCTCGATTCAGAAGGCCCAAAATTTTAAATATAGTCTACATAATATACAAAATCCTTTTTTATTGATTAATGATTCCTATTTTAGTATTTTGTTTTTAAATACAAACATTAAATACTAATATTTGTATGTAATTAAAATGTAATTTTTAATTATAAATGTGCAACTTCTTTATTACATAAGGCCTGGATAAGGCCTAGTTATAGTAATTAGCACAAATTCCTCGTACGTACAGTTTGGACAAGCTTGGTTTTAAGGGACGAAGGGAGTAGTTTTTTAGTAATATCCTACTCTATATTTTTTAGTTCATGATTTTAATTCATTTCTTTTCGGTTTTAGTTTTTTTACCGGTATTGGTTGTTCATATTCGAAATATGATTATATCTCAATGTCACATTTGATTGTAGTCTTTTTGGGTTATTTTTTAAAGGCTGCTTTTTATATTATATGGAGTATTTATTTAATATAAGGCCTATTTTACGTGATTTGCACCGGGCCTCCTAATCTATTGAGCCGGCCCTGGTTATCGGTAATATCTTTAATATCCTATAAGGAATTGTTGTGTTCTGATAATAACTTATAATCTTCACAAAATAATGACGGTGTCTATGTCATTTGGTAAAATATTTCTTTCTCAAAATTTATTACACCTTGAAGTTAATAAAATTTATAACTGAAACTTTTACCTAACAAAATTAATAAATTAAAACCCTCAAAAGCCAACAAATCATTGAAATCCACTAATTTTTTTACCACTATTCATTTATAAATATTAAACAACTATGAAATCAATTAATATGTATAAACTAATCAACTAAAATAATAAATTAAGAAATCACGAAGGAGGTGAACTGATCATCTGAATTTGTGAAGGCTGAATCGCTGGTTGCTGATATGCTGATGGCTTGAAGCTGTATGGAAAATAGTGAGATAGGGGCGTGAGGCAGAGAAGCCGAGAAGGACTGTTGGGCCACCAAAATTAGTAGTGAAGACTGAAAACTCAGACTACCCAAACCTATTATAAAGAAAAGTTCTTGGGCCTATTTTTTATTTTTATGGGCCTACCCCCTCCCCCTACCCCTGCAGCCGCCCATGTTACTATGTTCAAAGAAATGCTTTATTTTCTTCGAATTGCTATGTAAATTGTAAATATTCTGCTCCAATTGTTTAAAGAAATACCAAATTGGTTTTTTCATTCCTTTGTTGAGTACATGATACTTATTTGTTGCAATTCAATAAAATTTTGATATGGGAAAAGGGGTCATTTTGCAGAGCAGCCCATTTTATAAATAGGTTGATCAACTTTTTTTCTATTTCTCCCCTTTCTGCTTTTATTGAAAGGGCAGTAAAATCCGACCTGAATGTATCTTAATGTCATTTATCTTTGTTACTATCTTGGAGTAATATGGTTCTTGAGTCGATTTCCGATAGAAATGTTGGAAAAATGGTTTTGCAAATTAATATTATGGTCATTAATATTATTTGTAAAAATCATTTTGAAATGAATGAGAAATTATTCCCCGAAAGATAAGCGTGAAATTATACTTAACACGCATACACTACCGCCGTCAGTCGGTCGGGTTCGGGTCTTTGACGAGTCAACACTCGGGCTTAAGATAGGAAGATTTATTTTTGCTACGTTTTTCGGATAAAACCAAATAAAAGACACAACCATTCGTTTTAAAAGAAAGGTCATGAACTTTAATTTCTTTTAAAAGGTGTCTTTTGGAATAAGAGACTCCTGGCCAGAGCTCTATAAATACCCGCCTTGTCTTCACTTTTGAAACATCCGAAAATTCACAAACAATTCCTCAAATTCTCTCTTCCTTCGTTGCATCTTTGAGTTCCCCGGAATCCCGTTGGGAGCGAAGAACCGTTCTATCCTGGGAGACGCTTGCTACGTGTGTCGGGCAAAAACGTCTTAAGGAGACAACGCTTTTGTTGGGCTCAGTTGATACAAGTATTTTCTTTTGTGGTAATTACCCGTATAGTCCACTTTTATGCTCCATATATCATTTATGTCTCCACAACTTTTTCCTTTCAGTTTTAAACTTTTTGGTTTTCAATTTTAGTTTTTTATTTCAGTTTTGGAAAGTTTTTGCCGACCTGGCGACCTCCTCTGCATTCTCGTAATATGTCAGAGAGCGAAGGAGTTTCTCTGCCTTTCTCGTTGCTGCGAAATAAGCTTAGAGAACCGAAGGAGAACTTGGAGATCGGCGATACTTGTATCTAATTGCCAATGGAGCTGATGGCGTCGAGACTGAGAACAATCGAGACTGAGAACAAAGAGTCGAGGCCTCTGTGTGTTTCCGTTGGAGATTGGGGAGTCCATCTTCCTCCGGCGTCCAGGCCAGAGCCTTTCTGATGCAGAAGTGAGAACAACATTAACCTTCGCATTAGGCATCACTTTCTTCTATTCAAAATCCACCTTCATCCAATCGAGGACAGTATTTGTCAGACTCAAGATCTGGTACTTTTGGAGATAAAATCCAATAAATATTGTTGCAGCGCTTCTTCTCCTGAAGATTATGAGGATTGAAGATATACTCTACTACTCAATTGAGTGAGTCAATCTCCCAAATTTCTTCATTATTGTTCTATTAATCATTGAGCTATCTATGTTTCCCTATTTTGTAATGTCTGCTCCTATTTCAGTATTTGTGGCTTGGAGTTTCGATTAGACGGACCTACTTTTGCTATCATCGTCCCTCTATCCCTAATATGCACTCGGATTGGCACCGATAGACTGTGGTTAAGCTCATCAGATCTGATTGTCGAGGTTTTTCCACCGAATTGAAAAGTCTTAAGACTATTTGTGCTCTCGATCGGTTAGTTCACAATCTCTCCCACTATAATCTCTTGTTGACTTTTTTTTATTATCTATATCATTCATTGAGTTTTAATTTATTCCTGAGCATGTACTTATTTGCTAAACTGGTTTGTTAGTTTTGAAAATAATGTCTGAGCAAGTTTTTTGAGTTAATTATTAGCTGAACTTATGGTTGATGTAGTTACATCTTTTCTTCTTATACAATTCACAATTCAAAATATCTTGTTGACCCTCCCTTTTAAAAGGATACTTCGTAAATTCCAAGTTGCGTTTTTAATTAGCATTATGCTGAAAATCTGCATTTTCAACCACAAGAGTTTCCACAGATAAGTTTTATTGCATAGTGCTGCAGAAGAGACCACCTGCCTGCTATGGATTTCTTTGAAAAATTGAGCAAAACAGTAATATGTATTGGTATCATAGACCTTATTAGCCATCACTTTCTTCTATTCAAACTGGAGTTAAGTAATTTACCTTTCTGGGAGTTTCTGCGATTTCAATTTACAAGGATCCAACGCATTAATTTTTGTCTGTAATGCCTCTAGGAAAGCTGAGCAAGAGTAATATATAGAAAGGTTTTGAGGCATTAATGGAGATTCAAACTTGCTAATGAAAAGTAATGTTGATCCTTCTTTCAAATTGAGCCTCTTTATTGATGCCAGCACCCATTTCTATACCACGATTCCTTCTATTCATCCACATGTGATTAAGGATGAGAATGACTTCAAATCAAAGGTGAAAATGATGGAAGCTCTTCAAGATATTCAGATTGCCTCCAAACTCGTAGGACTAGGTGGCAATGATAATGATTCTTCCCCGGATGAGAAGTATGAAAAACTACGATGTCAAATATCTCCTATTATTCATGATTGTGAAGATTACTGGTTGGCTGAGAAGTATTACTCCAACTCATAAGGACTGCTCTACCCCTCGGAGAGGAAGAAGTGTTTTCTCTTGAACGGAAGGGTGAATTTGACAGGTTTGCTCCATTGAGAAAGAAATTAAAGAAATGAAAAACTTTTATGGCATGGTTCATGGTTGACAAAGTTTGTTGATATACTCATCCCAGGACTAAGAGTTGCTCCTCCTTAAGCTCCAACTACTGGCTGTATGTTCGGAAAAGGACTTTGCTTTGCCGACATGGTAAGTAAGAGTGCTTAGTATTGTTAAACTAACCAGAAAAAAATCGTGGGTTTTGTGCTGTTAAAATAAATAGTTAAATAAGTTGAAAAGGCAAAAAATTGTCACTATTTCAAGTGAGTTTATGTAGTGTGGGACTGCGGGGGATAGTTATTCCCTAGTTTGTTATGTTTGGATTATTCTTCACTTGAAAGATTGATATTATGCAGGGAGGAAGTGCCATCAAATAGCAACGAGAAGGAAAAGCAATAGTATATGAATCACATTCCAGATTGGGAGAAAATTAATGAGGCACACCAACACTTATGTTTGAAAGGGCGACATACGAAATGAAGGAATGATAAAAAGCAGACCAACTAATATAATAGTAGTGATACATTTACTAAACAAGAACAGTAGATTGAATTGTATATTTGGTGTGATGCTTTTATATATTGGTTTTTGTTTCTTTTTGTTGCATCACCTGTATTGTTTTTTGTTGCAACGTGTTGCATTGTGTTGTATCATGTTGCTTTTTGTTGCACTGTGTTGCTCATTATTGTTTGGTATTTTTTGGAAGATATTATTGTTTATTGTTGAATTAGATTTTTGTTGCATGGTGTTGCATTGTGTTGTACGAAGTATCATATTGTTTATCTTGTCAAAAAAAATATCTTTTCTACTTTAAAATCAGAAATCTATATTGTTGTATATACAAACACAAAAATGATAAATTTTGATTTATAAATATAAACAACTAGAAACATAAAAAAACAATAAGAAACAAAAATTTCAGAGCTATAAACAAAAAGAAACAATATGCAACAAAAACTAACAATTAAATAATAATAATATTAAAATATTAATATTTAGTTCTTTAAGAAACATTACATTACATAATTTTAATTTTATTTTTATTTTTTACTATGTTTCAAGTTCAAGGTTTTAGCTTTTTACATTTTTATTTACTGAGTTTCTTAATATTTCACTCTTTAGGTTACATTAATTATCTGCTTTTTTATAATATTTTATTTATTGAGTTTTGAATATTTTATTGTTTAATTTTTTTTATAAAATTAATTTGATTTATTTGAATGTTTCAAAATTTTATATAGTTATATTATTTGACTCTTCTAATGTGCATAGTTTACTCCACAAAAGTTTGTATTTACTTTGATACTAGTATTGTTTAATAGCTTCAACACATTTTTATCCTATTTACACATTTTATTTATAAATTTAACGTTCTTTTTTGTAACTTTTTAAAACTTTTTATTACATTTCTATTTTTTTATATTTGACATTTTAAACGTTTTTCATTTTTTTTGAGTTTTGTGTTCCTAATTTTCTATAAACGTTTTTTACATTTTTCTAATGTATTTTATAATATTAAACTCATCTAATTTTAATATCTAGCTTACACTTTTTTAATATTTCAAATTTTATTATATTCTTTTTTTTAATTTTATATTTTTACTTTGATATATAAAATAAAAGATTATGAGCGATTTAAGTTGACCAATTAATAGTGATCGGGAACTTTCGGGGCGGAGGTAGTATTTTAACATTTATTATTTTCTAATTTACTATCACCTTTTGGGTTTTTCAAGAATTTTTACACTTTTCTATTTAAAAAACAAAAAAGGAGTTAATGGTGAAGTTTGTGCTTCGTATTAATTCATACGGAAAAGATAGCAGCCTTGCAGTTATTAAGTGAGCCGGCGGATGCTTTATACTCGTATAGTCTTTTTGTGAAACAAAAGTATCCGCGAGTCTATTTTTGAAAAAGAAATTTAAGGATGACAAAAGTGATATTATTTTTCCTTTTTAACCTATTTGTGAAAAATTCCCTTTTCTTTTTCTTCTATTTATCTAATTAATGCATGCAGTTATATACGAATTTTGGATAACAATCTTAAGACGTTTTTTTAGTATCATTCTGAAATCTGTATGCGTTAATTCTTCTACTTTCGGTAATCTGCAGTACGAATTTTGTGTGTGTGTGTGCACATCTATTTCGCATGAGTTTGCATGTATCATTTGTATATGGATACGTCATATCATTTGCATATGAGTTTGCATGCAAATTAATTGTTATTGGCTAATTCTCCTTTCTGACTAAGTAGTTTTGTTTTATTATCATCCTTTACAATATGATGGTGTTGGTTATATCTTAACTTAATTAGTATTATTCTCATTCTCACATCAGAATATTTATCTGGCATATCATTTTTATTCTAATTGGTTATTAATATTTCACAATTCTGCCAGCGGTTATTTTGATCATTATGAATGTACATGTCGTTTACTTCTATGTACATGCATGTTCGTATTTCTACTTATTGTATTCTATTACGTAAGTGCATTTACTTTCTATGATTAATCAACATTCCCACATCGTTTACTAATTCAATGTGACATGCAAATTGCCAAATTCTCTATCCCCATAACTGATTATTACTTACAATTCTATCAAGTTGCTCTATACATTTAAACGTATTAGCGACTGTTTACATTATCATATCGTGTGCATATTAGTGAAATCTTTGCACCTTTATTCGGCCTATATACTTTGTGTATACATTGATTCTCAAAATTTAATTCCAACCTTTGAATCCATCTGTTTTTTGTAAACAGAATTGGAGACGAATCAAACATTACTTTTCCAAAAGTTTCACCGCTCACTACTGTCCCGATCATTTCTTCTCACAGGGAGAAACCTGGCAAATTCAATGGTCATGATTTCAAACGTTGGCAACAGAAAATGCTGTTTTATTTAACAACGTTGAATTTGGCTAAGTGTCTCTCTGAAAGCCAACCTGTTTTAGAGGAAGGCGAGACTGATAAGGAGAAAGTAGCCGCGGTGGATGCATGGAAGTACTCAGATTTCTTGTGTAGAAATTATCTCTTAAACGGACTTGATGACTCCTTGTATTGTGTTTATGCTGATATCAAAACAGCAAAAAGAATTGTGGGAATCACTTGAGAAAAAATACAAGACCGAGGATGCTGGCAAAAAGAAATTTATTGTCGGGCATTTTTTGGACTTAAAAATGGTTGACCACAAATCGGTTGTTTCTCAAGTTGAAGAGTTCCAACTTATCCTTCATGAAATTCACGTTGAGGGTATGTCCCTTAGTGAGTTATTCCAAGTGGCGGTGGTAATTAAAAAATTACCTCCCAAATGGAAAGACTTCAAGAATTACTTGAAGCATAAGCGCAAGGAGATGTCCCTAGAGGAGCTCATTGTCCGTTTAAGGATAGAGGAGGATAACCGCAAATCCGAGCATAAGGCTGGACGATCTAATTCCATGGAAGCTAAAGCAAACATGGTGGAAGCGGGATCCAAGAAAGGGAAGAAGAGAAAGCACAATGACGAAGGAACAAGTGGAGAGAAACCTTCGTCAAAGAAGTTCAAAGGAAAGTGCTATAATTGTGGCAAGCCGGTCACCGTGCTAAGGACTGTCGCTCTCTGATGACATGGGTGAAATGAACCTATGTGCCGTGATATCTCAATGCAATTTAGTGGGTAACACTAAAGAATGGTGCATTGACACTGGAGCTACCCGACATATTTGTGCTAACAAGTGGATGTTCACCGATTATCAACCTGTTGATAACAAGGAACAACTATTTATGGGTAACTCTTCTACATCCAAAGCAGAAGGTCGCGGCAAAATTGTCCTTAAGATGACAAGTGGTAAAACACTTACCTTGACTGATGTGCTACATGTCCCTGACATACGCAAGAATCTGATTTTGGGCTCCCTCCTTAGCAAGAATGGCTTCAAGCTTGTCTTTGTGGCTGACAAATTTGTACTTACTAAAAATGATGTGTTTGTAGGGAAGGGTTATCTCAATGATGGTCTTTTCAAAATGAATGTACTTACCGTTGTACCCAAAGTTGTGAATAATAATAAAGTGGGTTCTTCTTATTTGGTTGAGTCTTCTTCTATTTGGCATGCTAGATTAGGTCATTTTAATTATGATACTTTGCGTCGACTCATGCATTTAGATTTGTTGCTTAAGTGTCATATCGATCCTAATCATAAGTGTGAAGTTTGTGTGGAAGCCAAAATGATTAGAAAACCTTTCCAAACTGTCACAAGAGACATGGAACCGCTAGACCTCATACACACGGATCTATGTGATCTTAAGTATGAAGAAACTAGAGGTGGGAAAAGGTATTTCATTACCTTCGTCGATGATAGCACTAGATATTGCTATCAGTATTTGCTCAGAAGCAAAGATGAAGCGATTCATGCTTTTAAGCATTATAAAGCCGAAGTTGAAAATCAACTTGATAAGAAGATTAAGGCACTAAGGAGTGATAGAGGCGGTGGGTATGAATATCCCTTTGAATCAATTTGTTTGGAAAGTGGAATTATTCATCAAGTAATCGCTCCTTATACGCCTCAATCAAATGGAGTAGCCGAAAGGAAGAATAGGACTTTAAAGGACATGGTTAATGCCATGTTGGTAAGTTCTCGTGCACCAAATGACTTGTGGGGGGATGCTATTTTAGCTGCCAACTACATTCTAAATAGAATGCCCCACAAGAAAACTCTCAAAATTCCATATGAGTTATGGAAAGGGCACAAACCAAGTTTTAATTACTTGAAAGTGTGGGGATGTCTAGCTAAAGTAGGTATTCCCAAACCTAAGAGGACAAAACTTGGACCAAAGACCATTGATTGTGTCTTTATTGGTTATGCACAAAATAGTAGTGCATATCGTTTCCTTGTCCACAAATCCCATAACATGGATATATTGGCTGATACTTTTATAGAATCTAGAGACGCTACATTCTTTGAGAATGTATTCCCTTTCAAGGGAGATTGTGAAGTTGTGTCCTCCCACATGGATGTTTTCATTCCAACCCATGTTGAAGAAACAAACTCACATAAGAGGCCGTTTGATTCTATAAAAGATAACAACGAAATAACGCAGGAAAGTGAAGTGGGACGCAGCAAAAGGGCTCGAAAATCGAAAGATTTTGGACCAGAATTTGTTGTGTACCTTCTAGACAATGAGCCTCAAACCTATAAAGACGCCATGTCTTCACCGGACGTTGTACAATGGCAAGAGGCTATCAAAAGTGAAATTGATTCCATCATGTCTAACCACGTTTGGAAAGTGGTAGATTTGCCTCCTGGATCTAAACCTCTAGGATGCAAATGGATCTTCAAAAAGAAAATAACTGATGGAACAATTGAAAAGTACAAAGCTCGATTGGCTGCCAAAGGATACAACCAAAAAGGAGAATTTGACTACTTTGATGTCTACTCACCGGTCACAAGAATAACTTCAATTCGAACGTTATTAGCAATAGCTGCATTGAAGGGTTTGGAAATCCATCAAATGGATGTAAAAACTGCATTCTTGAACGATGACTTAGAGGAAGAGATTTGCAACCTGAAGGTTTTATTGTCCCCGGACAAGAAAGAAAGGTTTGTCGCTTAGTAAAATCTCTTTATGGGTTAAAACAAGCCCCCAAACAATGGCATGATAAATTTGACAGTGTAATGCTATCAAATGGATTTAAGATCAACGAGGCTGACAAGTGCGTGTACGTGAAAGGCAATCAAAATGACTACGTCATAGTCTGTCTATACGTAGA